GGCTTTTATTTAAAAGGGGGGTAAATACTCGCCGAGATATTTACAATAGAAAAATTAAGTCGTAATCTAATACGAAACCGTACTGTCGTCAAAGAGTAATAACGCAACTGATTTGCATTACTAACAATGAGTGATTTACATTACTAACATTACACCACAAAGCTTTTCGCGCGGATTATATTTCGCGCACTACTAAAATTTGCGCACCCAGCGCTGCGCGAATTCTAGCACTGCGCGAATTTTAATACAAGTAAGGTATACAAAATTCAGTTGACATGCTATATATCAATATGTGCAGACAACAATCCAATCCACTCTGGGTTGCTCTGGGAATCTTTAATATGAAGCCTGATTTAACAACATTCCGCATTTGTTGTAAAACTATAAACATCTAGAAATGGAACACTATAACTCATCGCCTTTGCACATGGGATAATATCAATGGACAAAGTTGTATTTGACCACTCCGTTAGCGGTTTATTATGTGCTGTAAGAAGCGCCGATAACTCATTAACGCACATTTGTTTGCCTCTAGACGGAACACTGAAAATTTCAGTGCCTTGATGTATATTACCAGATGTATATTACCAGAAAGAAATAAAGTCATACTTGCCTTTATATTTCAGAGAATTTTCGTAATTTTCATCCAGAATATATCTTAGTCGTAATCACATGGAAATTCCACGATGGAATTCGACGTGAAGATGCATGCGCGCATTATACAACATATTTTTCGATGACCCCCTCACATTACAAACGAACTTCAACAATACATAACTCGCGCGGAAGACTGGGTCGAGTGGACTCCGGGGAAACCATCAGACGTCAAGAATAAAGTGCTGCCTCGCTGCGCTTGGCAGCAATTAAACATAGGTCCACTGTGGCGGACATGCATCTTTGAGCAGATAATGAAACATAGATGTGCACTGATTGAAAGTCAGTAGATGCAAAAATCAGTAGATACAAAAACTGATCGGATATTTGTCAGTGTTTCTCAGACAATGGACGAAGTAATATTTTTCACATTTTTTTTCAAAATGAGCACGATGTATTTCGGCTGTTCATGTTTAGTTCATGTGTTGTGACCTCGAAAAGTGCTTAGAAAACGGTTCCTTTAACACGGCCAAACCGGTCAGAACGTTCAAATTGTTGAATGAAACACAAAACATTTGGGCTTCGGACCTATCTGACCGGAAAATTTTGATAACATTTGAATGAGGTCCATTTTCGCTAGACATTTGCGAAACATAGACTGAGATCTTTCCATTGATACAGAGAAAAAAATTCGGGTCTGACCGGTCAGACCATTAAATGGAAAGCGCCCAAAGGCTTTGTTTACATTTCGGTATCCAAAATATTGAACTGATTTTATTGGACAACTATTTATATTTTCATGATTTTAGAGTATAATAAATTAAGAAGAGACAACAATTAATCTTTGCAAGAACATAAAATGAAATAAAAACCTAAATAAACTGTTTGTGAATAAAAAGAGGGCTCCTTTGTGCACATGCGCAGGTCGGACTGTACCGCATCTTTAAGCATGTTTTAGATCTGAAATATTTTTCAGTACGGGAACTAACACTTTCAAGCACGCTGAGTTCAAATCCGAAAAGTTCCCACTCCGTAGACCCGCAGTTTTCTCACAATCTGCTATTTTATCTTCACTAATATCACAGCAAAATTTTTCATTATTCAACCGGATCGATGACGATACACGATTATGTCTGACTCAAAAGGACCAATTTCTATTAACCATTCTTCCTTTTAACAAAAGACCGGCAGTTTGCTGGAATCATTTTGAGTTATGCAATCTTATGCGTGTTGCATATATAAATAACATCTTGTCTACAACTTTGAGAAGTACAGATAATTCCTTCTAATATCCTTAGTTCTGGATCTATCTCTATAAATTACAAGGACGTAATTTCCTTTCCTTTGGGCTATGTCTCTGGGCTGAGAAACAATTGCTTACATGCGATGAAAATGTTTTATACAATTTAAATTTCCAACACAGTTTCTGAGATGTAATTCAAGAGATAACTTATCATTGCATTTGAATTATTACATCAGCTGGTGTTATACTGTGCAATAAGCGAATATTATTGGAAAGAGGGCTTCCATATACGTTGAAATCACCAAATAAACAGCTCATGCACACATTTCTCCACTTTGTCGTAAGTTTACAGAGCATATTTTATACTTTGGGACTGATCTTTGTCTCTGATGTGAATTCACATTTATTCTTATAGTTTAAGAATTAAGATTATTTAAGATTGATCCTGTCGTATTAAGTGTTCTATACCAGCAACCAATCGACAATATTTAATTTTATAGCGTTGTCTTTGCCGTTACGTTGGCTTCGTGTTACTTTTGTTTTAAATACTTTGATCGCGTTAAAAGAGTTATTTTTCAGGCCAGTGACTTAGCCAAAAGACTTCGCATTAACGTCCTTGTGATTTTATAGAGATATCTCTAGAACTGAGGATTTTAGAAAGCGTTATTTGTACTTCCTCAAAGTTGTAGACAAGATATGTTGTTTACGTCCAGCACGCATAAGATTGCATAACTCAAAATGATTTGAGCAAAACCGGTCTTTTGTTAAAAGGAAGAATGATTAATAGAAATTGGTCCTTTTGAGTGACATAATCGTGTATCGTCATCGATCTGTGTCGTTGAACAATGAAAAATTTGTCGTGAAATTATTGAAGATAAAATAGCATTTTGTGAGAAAACTGCGGGTCTACGGAGTGGGAACTTTTCGGATTTGAATTCAGCGTGCTTGAAAGTGATAGTTCCCGTCAAAATATTTCAGATCTAAGACATGCTTAATGAAAGTGAACGATATCGGGTCACAACACACGGACTAGTTGATCTGCACTGCAATCCATCTATATATCTACCAGTTCTAATAATAGACAGTTTAAGATCTACGACGTCGACGTCAGCTAGGACGTCAGGGCTATGCAGAGGACTTGGACTAGGATGTCGTCCTGATGTAGTCCCAGTCCTCTGCTTAGCCCTGACGTCCTAGCCGACGTCGTAGATCTTAAACTATCTATTGTAATACATCATTAAATTATAGTTCAGGTTATACATAACGTTAATTTCTACCAGTGGTGGACACTTCACGAAATATTGGGGGCATTGTTCCGTACTAAGGGATGGTTCCTTGGTGAATCCTTCAGCCAGAACATGGGTAACTTGATGAAATGAATAAAGAGTTGTGCCACTTGACTGACATTAGGTTAGCGTTGTTGTTTAATGTACAGTATAACTATCAATTCTAATCGTTTAAAAAAAATTATCAGTAGAGCTTTAAGGAATCCTACACAGAGCAAAACAGATTGTATAAAATACGTATGTTGTGGAATCATTGACATGCATTCTACAGAATCATATATTGCTTGCTATATCGCTAACTTTAGCTTAAGTTTTATTTAATAGTCATTATTTAATATGATAATTACGTCATATGGCTGTGATTGCATGCTTGCCACTCGCTCCTAAACAATGCTTGTGAATTGTGATGGTGTGCATGGTCTTTCAAGCCGCATTATCATTTGCATGGTTACAGTCTACAGAGCTCATAGATATCTTATATACACTAGATGGGCATCTTATTTAGTAAAATTGAAGCCAAGAATATTCCAGCGGTTACTTCCATTTGAATAGATGGCGGCCATGTTGGTCGTTCCCACTTGCTAATAAACGCTTAAAAACAACAATAACTTTCATCATTTGAATAGTTTAAAAACGTATTTGGAATAGGGTTAACTTCATGTTTAAGTTCCGTGTTTAAGAAATAGAAAATATACGAATCTTCTCATTTCATGAGAACGACCTGAGACTGCAATCACGGCTTCAATTTTTGAATTGCAGAATAATTAGATGCACTATCTAGTGTATATAAGATATCTATGACAGAGCTCAGTTGTGTTGCTATTCGTCAATCAATATACACTAGTTATTATATGGCAAGCATGCATCACTCCCGGTAAAATGGCGGACTGTGATTGGCTGAGAAGCACTTTCAGCGGTCCATTACGTAAAAACAAACGCATGCATTGCACAGCATTTTAAAACAAAACTGCAAAACTAATTGAAAATTTGAAAATTATAGGCTAATTTAATTTGTTATTAATAGAATATATGCGAAGGTTTTTAGTGGAAAAGAAGGAATACATTGGTATTTTTTCTTCGACCAAATGTGTATCATGTATTTTAAATATAATAATAAACTTTTTATTAACCTCGCTTGCTCGGTATGTACAGAGAAATATCGGATCTCTGTCTTTTTGTACAAACCTCGCCCTACGGGCTCGGTCTGTACAAAAAAGACCTCGGTCCGATATCTCGCGTTCGTTAATAAGAAGGTATTAATTTGGACGACTTTAAGACTCCCTATTTTATCAACTCAGTCACCTATTCAGAATAATTGTGAAAACTCTGATTTGGAAAAAGGGCTTAAAGGGACATTACTGGTACAATGGTTTGGTTAATGCATGTATGCCTTTTTATCTTATTTCTGTAGATCGTGAATCGTACGCGAGTGCTGTATCCGGTCTTTTTAACAACAAGGCTGCGTGTTATATGAAGATGGGGGACTGTAAACAATGTGTGCTGGAGTGCAATGAATCATTAAAGCTGGTTGACAGTAATCTCAAGGCTTTGATACGACGTGGGGCGGCTTATGAGACTATGGAGAAGTAAGTAACCCGTTTGCAACTTTATTTATACTGGATAGCTTTATCAGTTCTAAACTGTTCTTCCTAGAGGTCCAGTAAGGATCATCTCTTATTGATCCAGTGTTACTACTGGAGGAAACCTAAACTAAACTAACTTTATTTATACTGGATAGCTTTATCAGTTCTAAACTGTTTACCCTAGAGGTCCAGAGCAAAAATTCTTATGCTAATGAATGTTTCATTTTCAAGATATGCTGAGGCGTTCAGAGATTTCAATCGAGTTCGACTTATTGATGGATCTAATAAAGTAGCCCAGGAACACTGCTCGAGGTAATTTCATACAACACATTTTACTTGTTAAGATGAAACGCTATACTGAGTCTGACGGCAGTTTCGTTTCGAAAATGTAGTAACCTACTTCGCTATTTGTAGTGCTCAATATGAAAGTGAACAAATTTTAGTACTGGCAGGAGAGGTTTCCCGAGTTCAAACTAGTTTTAATTGAGTGTGATTCTCTGTTTATATGAACTGGGAAACCCAGGAAACCCCATATGAACATAAAAAAACTAGTTTCATATTATTCTGACAATATGCAATCGACCAACGAACGGGATTTCAACGAATTTTTCGTTGGTCGATTGCAGTGTCAGAATAATATGAAACTAGTTTTTCGTATCTCTGAGGATGGTTCTGAAATAGAATTGAAACACTACGCGTCCTCTAATCCATATGAACATGTTCGATCTGTTTTTGTTAGTGACTTTAACAGATGAAAAATTCAAATTATTTTGTATCATAGAGTAATAAAACATCTCGAAATGCAGCATGGGAAATCATGGAGAAAAAAGATACTCGAAACAAGCGATGATGACGACAGCAAACAGCAGACATTCCCGGATGTTCATGAAGGTACAAAAAATGCCAAGCAAGTTCAAGCTGGTCTGAGCAAAGTAGACGAGAATGCGAAGCTATCTCAGAAAGCTAGCCTGCAGCCTGAAAGCAGCCTGAACGCGGGCAAAAAGGAACCTAAGATTGGCGCGACCGATGAAAGAAACGAGGAGTCTGAGGCGAATATAAAAGCGACGTTTTTCAAGTTGAAAGAAAGCGGGAATTTGTTAGTGAGAAAGGTATGTCCATTGTTGGAGGTCAGCTGGGTAAAGCTTATTTTCCACTAGGCAAATTTGTTCGCTCATTTATGAGCGTGCATGCTTATGAGATACCAAAATAAGGTATGCTCACAAGCACGCTAATATATGTACCAAAATCCAGTATGCTCATGATACCAAAATCCAGTATCTTCATGAGAATGCCCATCAGCATATACTGGATTTTGGTAGATATATCAGCGTGCTTATGAGATAGCAAAATGAGGTATGCTCACAAGCACGCTAATATATGTACCAAAATCCAAAATGCTGATGAGCACCCTCATATATATACCAAAATCCAGTATCCTCATGAGAACGCTCATGAGCGTATTTCTGAATTTTGATAGATATATGAGCGTGTTGCTGTTTTCATTGATATTTCTTCTTTATATTTTAAAAGTTGTTTCTTTTAAAACTCTGAACATGACCGAAGGCGACGCCATATTGTTTTGGTGGTATTTCCACGGTATGACGTCACTCAGTGAATATGATTTTTTCATATCAACATTACGAGTTGGCGTCACTCCGTTGAATATTTTGTCAAAACTCCATCTTTTGTCAAGACGATTTCACAATGGACTGGTAACCAATCGGAAACCACAACTTTTTAAAATAAACGACAAACCGGCTTATTCTTATATATTTCATATTTTAGGGCAAACATGAGGAAGCGATAAAGCAATACACGGATTGTATAAAATTATGTCCCAATGAAGTGGCCATATATACCAATCGAGCTTTATGTTATCTGCGGCTAACCATGTATGATCTGGCAGAAGCTGACTGTAATACTGCACTGAAGATCGAGACAGACAATATTAAAGCTTTGTTTCGACGGGGAAAGGCGCGAAAGGTAGCGACAATCTTTTGTGAAAAACTACATACTAACTTCTGTTATAATATATATACTGGATAGCTCTATCAGTTCTAAACTGTTCTTCCTAGAGGTCCAGTAAAAATCATCTCTTATTGATCCAGTGTTACCACAGGAGGAAACCTAAACTAAACTAACTTTATTTATACTGGATAGCTCTATCAGTTCTAAACTGTTCTTCCTAGAGGTCCAGTAAGGATCATCTCTTATTGATCCAGTGTTACTGCAGGAAAAATTATAACTACTTCAAAAACTCAATAATTCATGAAGCAATTATCCAATCTTGAGTAAGAAATTAGTCATGTGCATACGTCTTTATACCAGCTAAAGAACACTTTAACAAAAGACCATTGTTATGCAAACTATATAAAGGTTTTTATATAAAGATTTTTATATTAAGATTTTTATATAAAGATTTGACTTATTATGCATACGTTTTTGAAGTCATTTAAAAAACTCGCGGGTCGTGTTTTATTAGGTCTAAAGCCACTCGCGCTGCGTGCTCGTGGCTTTAAACCTAATAAAACACTCCCGCTCGTTTTTTAAATAGTACATAAAGGCTTTCTGAATCATTTCTATAGGGTTTGGGACGTTATCGGGATGCGAGCAAAGATCTGATTGAAGTTTTGAAACTAGACGGCAAGAATGGCCCTGCCAACAGTGAATTGAGGGAAGTACTTAATTTATTGAAAAAGGTTAGCATCGTGTTTTGATTATTTTGTCTGAAATTTGTAAAATTTTAGCTTTATTCTGTAGTTTACACAGTTAGCTAACGGCTTTTTCGATGTATCTGGCGGTTCAGAAACACAAAATAATAGTTAAATATTGTCCATTTAAATACAATTAGGCGTAAAAAAAAAATACCTGTGGTTCCGGTTTCATATCGTGAAAAAATTAGGGTCGGTAGGTCGGAAATAATTTTTTTTTTTGAATATTTTTTTCATGGTTTTGGCGGTTTTTTGCTGGGCTATTTTCAGTAGAGTCCCGACATCAATATTAACTAGAGATGCGTATTTCTTATGGACAAATTTAGGCAATTTGGTTCAATAATTAGTGTGACAACAGACGCCATTTTGGCACGCTGTATGAGCAGCCCGCAACTACCTGGAGAAAATAGGGTCGGTAGGTCAATCGCGTTGAAAAAATAATAGGGTCGGCAGAAAAAAATAGGGTCGGTCGGGAACCGGAACCACAGGTATTTTTTTTTTACGCCTTATCATCGACGCCGTAAATTGACGCCATATTTATACAACAATGTATAAGCAAAACTTACTGAACTTCAGACATCATTTTGTCTTTGGGGTAGCTACCTTATAAAATCTCTTCATTTCAGCATAATTTTACAGATAAAGCACTAAACATACTTTTCAAGTTTCTTTGCCACTTGAGAAACGTATAAATATTGAAAAATTCAATATAGTTACAATCAAGTGGAAAGTATATTCATTATAGTTTTGATCGCGTGTTACGTATTAACATATACAAAAAAGTCCCAATCGAGCAGAGGACTTGGTCTAATTGATATTTGGAGGGACGTTTGGAGGGGCAACAAGTATGCCTTATTATAATTGTTGCGTTTCAGGCTGCACAAATAACTTTAGGATTGATGCTTGTGATGTTACTCTGAGTGTATATCCACACCGGGCAAGCTTGAAAAATATGCCTGACCACGGTGGGAATCGCACCTACGACCTTTGGAATACTAGCCCAATGCTCTGCCAACTGAGCTACGCGGTCTGGTCGGTTCGAGTATGTGATATTTCGGAACAGAATCTAGTTCCTTTGATATCAATGTTATGTGATAATAATCATGATTTTTCTGTGTTGATATAATACAGAAAAATCATTATATTATACCAACATAGAAAAAAAACTTTAGGATTGTAGGAAAACTTCCTAGATGCCATATTCGGCACATTGTTTACTTTTTGTCCCTCCAAACAAGCGACTAGACGCAGTCCTCTGCTCGATTGGGAAATGGCTAATTGTTATTGCTATCTCTCTTTAAATCATGTTTTTGTGAATATGTGACAGGAAAAGAAAGACAGTGAAAAGAAAAATGAGGAAAAGAAAGATGTAGAAAACAAAGACGAAGAAATGAAAGATGTACAAAAGAAAGATGTACAAACGAAAGATGGACAAAAGAAAGATGTACAAACGAAAGATGGACAAAAGAAAGGTGGGGAAAAGAAAAACGGAGAAAAGAAAGATGTAGAAAAGAAGGACAAAGAAAAGGATGTAGAAAAGAAAGATCTACAAAAGAAAGATGTACAAACGAAAGGTGGGGAAAAGAAAAACGGAGAAAAGTTAGTGCCCAAACGAAAGAAGATTTTGATTCAGGACATTGATGGCGAAGACGATAAGAAAGTAAGTTGCTTTGAGAAAAATGAACAAACTTTACTACAAGTAGAACTTCGCTACCTCAAACAGCCAAGAGAGACAGAAACAACTAAATCAGTGTCAAATTACAAAAATGGTTGATAATATCAATATTAATTTAAATTGACGTGGTCAGGCTTATAATCCAATGACCCATTGATATATTTTTATTTGTGAATATGCAAGCCTTGACATATTGGTCAGAGAACCGTCTGACAAAATGTTCGATGAGTTTTAGTCGGACATATGCATTGTGATTTCCGAGTGGATGTCCGATGAATTTGAGTTCAGTTTGGCTTTGAAATAAGTATCAATGCAGACACAAATTAATATATGAACACAATTTGGAAAAGTCATTTGAATCTTGGCAATGAACTACCGAAGCCCACGGTGAAAACCTCGCACTTGATTACACATTTCCAGTTCACTTTTTATACATTACTCTGATTCTTCATTTAACATACGAGCCATTTGATCTACGTTGGACAAAGTTAAAGTTATGTCCGACACCAATTTACTCGGGTCCGACAAACAATAGACCTCAGTTTCACTTAGGTCGGACAGAATGTCCAGTGGTTTCCTCTCTACGTCGGACAATTTCACGAATGGGTCGGACATTTAGGGCCGGGTGAAATGTACAATAAAACTGCAACGTACTAATAGTAAAGTCTGTGAGACAGGCTACATGGTCACAGGTGAAGGGCCATTGCCCCTTTCCCCTCAACTGAGCTATCTTGCAAAGTTTATTTCTCTCTTTTATAGACCTGTCAAACAACACGGAAACAAGATGGTACATCTGCAGCCACAAAGGACGAGACTCCTACCGTTGTTCAAAAAAATAACAAACCGAAAGATCCATCTGCTAAAACTAATGAGAAAGAAAGCATGAAAACAAAAAATCTCTCGCCTCAGAAGGAAAATACGAAGAGAAAAGAAGAAACGATATCAAAAGATGGATGCAGTATAAAGACCTCAAAGGCCAGCAGCACACCTCCTGTGAAACATACTGTGGTGGGTAGAATTAAGGGGCATGATAATTTATGATGAATTAATGTATTTATCTTTGAAATTTTCTCGTTTTTAGAAAAGCGCCTTTCAGTTTATTCAAGCTTGGAAAAGTGTAAAAAAGAATGATGATACCTCGGAATATCTGAATATTTTGAAACAAGTCACCTTAACAGATATACCAAAAGGTATTATCAAGTTAAAGCTTCTGTGATCTGTGTTTAAAAAAGCTCGTACAAAAAGGACCAAAAGTTTAAAATATAAAATACTTTCGTTTCAGTAATCAGTAACAAACTGGATGGAGATATGATTAAATCGATCCTCGAAGCCCTGAGTCTCGAAATGCAGACCAATGGTAAACCTTGAATTGAATCTGCAAATTTTATTAAAATGTATAGTGTTTGGCTTTTACGCTCAGACACTACGATGGCTGTTTTATATTTTAGGTGACGTAAAGTTTGTGTACCAGTTTTTACAAAAATTGATGTTAGTGGAACGATTTGATATGACACTGATGTTTCTATCATCGCTTGAGAAAAAGGGTAGGTTTATTTACCAAAATAATGGTAGCTACCCAGTATAAATAAAGTTAGTTTAGTTTAGGTTTCCTCCTGTAGTAACACCGGATCAATAACAGATTATTCTTACTGTACATCTAGGGAGAACAGTTTAGTACTAATAGAGCTGTGCAGTATAGATAAATTTAGTTTAGGTTTCTTCCTGTAGTAACACTGGATCTATTGATCTCTTATTAGAGATAACCCTTACTGGACCTCTAGGAAGAACAATTTAGAACTGATAGAGCTATCCAGTTTAAATAAAGCTAGTTTACTTTAGGGTTCCTCCTGTAGTAACACCGAACGAATAAAAAAGATAGCGAGCTGAGTAGTCAGATAATTCTACTCGTCTTTCTTTAGTGCTACGAAAACTGTTTGAAGATATCACAAACCAAAACAACGAGCAGATTGGAATAAATACTAAAGATCTATCCCAGCTAAGACAGAAATATCAAGTATAAGGTATCATACAGAAATTATACAATCGGCTACTGTAATTATGCATTCAGTTTATGCACTAGTCAATTGAACCCCCGGCCCCCCGACCCCCGGGACAGGGCGGGGAATTAACGGGGGAATGGCCGTGGATTAACGCGGGTTTAATGCACCATTTCCCCCGGGGTACAGGGGAAATAACAAGTCAATTTATTAGCAGGGACAATAGCCGGGACTTTAACGCGCGGCTGATACGAAAGTGGACTGGAACGTGTTTATCGTCGTGGCAACATGACGGAATCTTCGAAGTCAGAGAAGATATTTTATAAAATTTGTCCGTTTTATTATTGTTTCCTCATAGTTTTTCTTAAAAAAAAGGAATATATTTTCACTTTCCTGATGATGACTGCAAAATAGTCAAAATTAACGTAGACTTAATATTCAGTATCTTTTGATGCGGATCAAAGTTTAAGATCAAGAATTGCCTTCACATGTTGTGAACATTTTATACTTCAACGATTTCCCATTTCCCAAGTCATGAAAATTTGCAAAGTGCCGGGCCATAGGGGCGGTAACTTTGACAGTCAATATTTCCCCGGTGGTGGGGAAATTACCAAAGTTTAACATTGTCAATATGTTAATTTCCCCGCTCTTTCCCGGGGGTCGGGAGGCCGGGGTTTCAATTGACTAGTGCATTACGAGACAGACCTTTGCTAATTTCTTACCCAATTTTCATCGAAATTTAACAAAAAATTGGTCAATCTGTCCTTGCATATAGTTCATCAATCCCACAGATTTTCGTGTTAACACGTTTGATATTTTTTAAGTCATCGTGCTAATAGACAAGCACACACACACGGACACACATACAAACACGATGAAAACATGACCTCCGGAAATTTCTTTCCAAGTGGAAACATGAAGATATTATAAAAATAAGGAAATGTAATTTTATCAAGTGGAAGCACCAGACGCCATCTTGGATTTTGAATTTTACAATTTTGACAATTTGAAAGAGATTTTGTCGTTTTTTACAAGAAAATATTACACGTTCAACGAGCTTGGCTACTCGTACTGGATTGTAAGATATTATATTTAATGAACAGATATTAAAACTATGGTTTTTTCTTGAAAAAAACCAACAAAAATTGAAAAATATGCCAAAAGTTGTGTCCAAAAGCTTTGTGGTCTCAGACACGAGAGACAAGGAAGAATATAATGACCTGAGCTCGAAAGTATACGTTTACTACTGCCTTTGTGGACAGCTGGCTTTAATTCTAGACACCACACTAGAACACCTTCCTTTGAGAAAGTTAGACCACGCTCGAGTCATCGATGCGAAGGCGCATGCGTATAAATTGAGTTGCGTCGAGGGTGATGAGATATTTCTGAAACGAGAGAAAGGGGTCGAGCGACAGTTCCGGCAGAAATGTAAAAATTGCAGCCTGTGGATGTTTTATAACCATGTTAAGAAAGATCCTAAGGTGACGTTTATTGTTGACGGGGCGTTGGTTTTACAGAAAGATACGGGTAAGTATGTTTACCAGAAGAGGTTAAGGCCACGCCCATCTAGGCTGATGCAATATTGAAAAAAATTGATATCGAAAAAATACTGATAATATCATTTTGTCAACTTGCATATATACCTCATCACAAAGCTACATTGAGACAAATGTCATCATTTTCATCGCTTTTCTTAACCCATTAAGCTGCAAAGCTTCCCCATTGGCAAGTAAGATTGTCTGGCGTTAGACAAGTAAAAAAATAAGTAGGGCGCATTGCGGCTCAATGGGTTAACTAGAGACATTGTCAGATATTTTGGTTAACCCATTAAGCTGCAGAGCTTCTCCATTGAAGAGTAAAATCGTCTGGTGTTAGACAAGAAAAACTAAGTAGGGCGCATTGCGGCTCAATGGGTTAATAAAATGTTCGATATTATTATTTTCAATATGCAAAAAATGGAATATCGATATTTTGAAATATCTAAAATACATGAAATAGTGTTTTGCAGACCCTAAAAATAACAAAATTCTCCAGGCGACCATGATTCTTGTCAATCCTGCTGATTTTTTGTCAATATTTCAGACGAAAAGAATCAATTACAAAAGAAAAAAACCAAGAAAGTTATGATGACAAAACGTACAAAGGAATTCGGCAAGTTCAGTTCTGTTACTGTGTCGACAGTCGACGAGGAAGAAGAGGAAATTGAACAGCAGGAAGTGGAAACGTCGTACGCACATAATGCAAAGATCATCGAAAAACAGCTAGAGAGAAAAACGACTGCGCAGAAGCGGGCGTCAGACACTGGTGCCGATGGTCAGACGAAAAAACCTAAAGGAACATTGATTGATCGATAGGGGGACCAAAGGCTACCCTGTTATGTGTTTTGTATTTAATGTTTTCTATATGTATTATGTGTTTCGTTATTTTTAGTGTTGTCAACAGTTATCATTTTTCCAGTGGCGGACACCTTGCCGAATATTAGGGATTCTCAGTATTGCCAAGGGAGGGGGGGGGCAACGTGATAAACTTGCTTTGTTGAGCATGAAGAGCTTTGTAATTTTCCCAATCCCTATGCAATATATTGCAAACAGGATTTGCCCCGTGCCCCACACAACCTCTCGTCAGCCCTGGGGGTTCAAAGTTAGCAGGGGCGGCGCTAACCCTCTTCGAGTGGGGGGGGTGTGAGTGATCTTTTGCCAACTGTTGTTTGGTAATTTTGCCAAGTCATTATCCTAAAAAATTTTTTCCGGAAAAATTATTTTGGCGACTGTCCCCAAAAAAATTTCGGTCAGTGTACCATTTTAGGGGTCAAAAAAATTTTCCGGACAACCATTATTTTTCGGAACATAACACATATTTTCGAAAAATTACAAAATTTGCCAAAAAATTGACCTAATTTTAGACAAAATTGACAGAATTTGTCCGATTTTTTTTTATTGCAAACCAAAATTGCCCGACTGTTGATCGAATATTGCCCGACTGCCCAATCCAGTTTTGCCGACTGAGACAACAATTTGCCGATTAGCTGACGAGTGGGGGGGTGGAACACCCCCCCACACCCCCCCTGTAGCGCCGCCCCTGAAAGTTAGTTGCCACCATATTACCATTCGTTTATTTGCTTCGTTTTATTCCATATTACCATTCGTTTATTTTCTTCATTTATAGCCTACAAATGTTCTCATACTCATACAAATTATTGTTGCAGCTTATTTGGTTACCAGCTTTCGGAAATTGTTTTGCGGGGTGCCCCCCCCCCACCCCCCCACCCCATGATTACCACATCCAGTGACCGTATCTATCCATTTAGGGCGTCAGAGACATCAATCTTGTGCTCAAATTTTCTTCGAGTCTGATGGCAAGTGCAGCTTATTAATATCTGTGTTTCTTTCCACGCATTTGTTTTATTGCATCTTGTTTTTATACGAAACAAAATGCCAATGCCGTCCATAAAAATTAAGTATGTTGTTCGATTTCCTCCATGTCGAAATCTCTCGTAAGGCAGAAATGCAGAATTTGCCCATTCGCGGGATAGAAATTAATTTGAGATTCCGGAGGATTTTATAGAAAGGTCTACAAAGCAGCTAGGTGGATGCTTGTAATGCATCTAAATTCGTGATTTTAATCTGTCTGACAGCAGACCATCTTCCAACAGATTTTTAATTGAAATATAAATTGGTATTTATATATACGTCAGTAACCGTGGATCCTTATGTGTTTGGTTACACCAAGTATCTTCAGTGCAGCACACGCTGGTCGAGCGATTGCCATCGCAGATTTGTTCAAATTGCTATCGATTTTGCACAGGGGGCAGAAAAGTACGATTGTGTTTATTTAAAATACCTTGTCATCGTCATATATCGCATAGTTTCATCCAGGTTTCAAACGATGAAAATTATGTTGATTTTAAATTTTTTCGATAATATAATACCGACTACTTCATGTAATTCAAACATTGTGGTTGTTTACCATTTACATGGAAAACCCATCCGGTTTGAAATTGTGCTAATGGTAAGCAAAATTTCGGATAGAAAATCCCATTCGGATTATTCGCTTTCCATTTAATAATTTCAATTGTTAAATCGAGAAGAGCCTGGAACTGGTGAAAAAATTTTAAAAATATGTAAATGGACAACATTTACCGGTTGAAACGTTCCAATCTGTAAGAGAGGACAACCTTTTCAAACAAACCGTTCATTCCGGAGAAGTTCCGGTTGGGCAGTCGTCTTAACATCGCTGTACTGGAAATTCGACGATGGATAAAGAGACAACGCTTGAATGAAAGAACTGCCTGTCTTAATGGTAAGTTTTTAAAGGCTTTTCGGTAATTTAATACCGTAATACATAAAATTAAATAAAAACCCAATTAGGGGCCGACCATTTAACTTTTGAGGGGCGGGGGGGGGGGTGATTTTGAAAAAAGATTTCCTGCAAGGCTATTCTGGACAAAAAA